TGACAGAGCCTGACACACATTATACTCCAGTAGCTTTACAGTTTATTGATAAAAAGGTAAAAATCCTCTATTCCACTGCCCTATTCCTGCTCTGCCTACGCTTGTGGCACAGGAGATAATTAGGGGATTTCTGCTGTACCTCTCCAGCTGCTGAGATGAATCCCTCGGGCTCTCTGCAGCAAGCAGGGATTAAGATAACATTTTGTAGTAACACAGAAGATAAGCAAGAAATCCAGGCTATCCCAGAGTTTCCAAGCCAACCATCTCAGCAATGTGGGAGATTTCCAACTACACCATGACAGAAGCAAAGATTACATGAGTAACTGTCATTGCTCAGGAAAACATGGATCATTCACTGTGGAAACAGAGATTGCTCAGAGAGGCACACAATGGTGTGATGGATCTGATGTGATTTAGACAGGCAAGTGGTACCCCAAGTCCAGTTCTTCTCCCTTGTCCAACAAAATGTCAGGATTAACCACTGGCATCAATGGAGTATTTCTGGAAGAAAACCTCTCCAAGAGTAAGGATGGGGGCCAAAGATACCTTTAGTGAACAGCAGGATGTATTAAAAAGGTTGGCACTGATGCAAGCATACTGAAACAAATACTCCTTCCTTTTCCTTACAATTGCCACCAGAGTCAGCTAAAACAGGGAGCTCTGTTTGGAGACAGACACCTATAACACCAGAAATTCACATTTTGCTGCTAATAACAATCCTGCAATGGCAAGAAAGGCTCTGGACAGTTATTAAGTGTTAAAGCCAGAGGAGACTGTTTCACAGGCTGGAGAACTCTTTCACAGTGCTGTACAGATCCCAGTAACTGGTGTTTGATGAAGGCCTGATTTAGCAACACCAGGGTAAGAAAAACTCACTGCTTCTCAAAACACTCACTCCACTAGTAACTTATCCTTATTAAGAGGGTGTTTAAAGCCAGAAAAATTCAAGCTAAATATAGCTCCATCTTATAATAGCCCAGTAATTGCAATACCCTGTCTGTTCCCCGCTCAGAAATGCTGCAGCTTGAGTAAGAACTACATTATAAAACTCAACTTGCACTGCCCAAGGGTCAGAATGAACTTGGTAATCAATCTGTTGTTCAACACTTAATCTTCAAACAGCCCAAACAGATGACTTATTACTGGTCTCAACCTGAAACAAAAGTACCCAAAGGGTACACATATATTTTGCATATGGGTTGAAGAGCTATAATTAAAGACTGGTGCTTAAGAAAGCAAGAAAGCACCAGGCTTTTCAAGTTTAGCATTTCTGGGCAAATAAAAGTGCCGTGCTGCTGACTGACTGTGGTTAAGTAAACAAATTGACCTAAGATGACTTTTTCCAGCTGTGGAAAAGAATGACCATAGCACATGGCTGCAGTAATTAGTGACAGATGAAGTATTTTTGTCAGAGCAGAAGGGGCATGCACCTTCTCCCAAAGCCTGAACTAGCCTCAGGGTGTCACTGGAGCCAGGCTGGGTTTCAGATACAATGAGACCCCGAGGGGCCTGAGGGAACACAGTGTACAGTCACATCTGACCTGAAACATAGACTGAGTGTAAACAGAAGCTTTACACCATTAGAATGGTTTCTCTGCTGTGCCCAGATGGAAGCTTCCAAGAAAAACACCTCAAACCATAGTGTTCAGCACAAAACCATGGAAAAATCTCATTACATCAAAAGCAGGAAAGTTAAAATTCTAAACAACTCCGATGGTATTTTACAGAATCACAGAATGGGCAAGGTTGAAAGGGACCACCAGTGGGGTTGTCTGGTCCAATCTCCCTGCTCGAGCAGGGTCATCCTAGAGCACATGGCACAGGATTGCACCCAGACAGTCCTTGAATATCTCCAGTGAGGGAGACTCCACAACCTCTCTGGCCAATCTGTTCCAGTGTTCAGCCATCTCCAGGAGAGCAGAGACACATCACGTGTAACGGTTCCTTGGGAAGACAAATGACATCACTCCAGGTGTCCCCTCCTTCCTTCTTCTTCCTCTCACCTTATATACTGAGCATGATGTCATATGGCATGGAATATTCCTTTGGTCAGTTTGGATCACCTGTCCCAGCTGTGTCTCCTCCCAATCTCCCATGCCCCCCCACCTTCCTTGCCAGCGTAGCAGCACAGAACGCAGTAAAGACCTCGGCTCTGTGTAAACTCTGTTCAGGAATAACAAAAACATCTCTGCATTATCAACCCTGTGTTCAGCACAAATCCTAAACATAGCCCTAAACTAGCCACTGTGAAGAAAGTTAACTCCACTTCAGCCCAAACCAGCACAGGCATGTACCTCTCATACTACTTGAGAAAGGCCCTCCATGGACCTGTAGGAGATACCATTGATGCTGTAAAATGTTTAGCAGAGACAACTCTGAGACACATATAACTTATCCAGGGGGAAAAGAAAGAAAAATCCCTCTAAGTGTTTCAAGGAGAGAAAAGCTGCAGCACAGAAGATGCTGCTTGGCACCAAGAAACAAACTTTGGGGTAATGGTCTTTTCAAATTTCTCTGACAGCAGCACATAAGCCCAGTTTTACTTCTGTTTGATTAAAGCTCTCCAATGTGTAAACAGGTTTTAGGAAAGCAGCAGGGGTAGGCTCTTGCAACAAAACTAGTCTAAGAGTAAAGAAGAAAGAAAAGGAAGCAACAGAATCCTGAGCATAAGAACTGTCTCATGGTCCAGGGCAGAGCTCTGCACTTCAGAGCCCCAACTTCTCCCATCAGGAAATCTGGCTGAGGGATTTGCATAGCACATATCACACACCTCACATCCCTCAGTTCATGTGTCAGGGCATTTTTCTCCCTGTAAAGGCATATTGATGACATTAAACTGCAGTATTTTGATTAAATCTTCTCTATTTCAAACATATATGAAGCCACATGGGGATAAGTGATTTCTGACTTAAGTAATACCAGCCAATACTAAAGGGCATTTGTCTACCTTTTTTAGTAGAGGATAAGTGCTACTTATTATAAACAATGACAAAATTTCAACTTTATTTCCATCTGAAAACATCAATTCATCTTAACAACAAACAATTATATATCTATCAAAGACTTCATTAGATAGGGTTTCTCAGACCAAGGACAGATTTTCTAATGAAACCAGATACCCCATCTCACATGGATAAACCATTTCCTTTGTTAGGACATTGCACAGAAGTCCATCTACTTGATTCAACTCTGAAGAATATTACAAGCTTGCTTTCCCACATCTGAAGGGGGAAACAGATTATTTCCAGAGTGCTCTTTCTTGTTTATCTCTGTCATTGTCTTGTAGGACTGGAAAAAGAATGAAAATTCTGCCCCAGAAAAGGGTTCTGTATAATTTGTTTGACACACAAGTACTGAGATGGAGAGAACAGCTGTAATGCAGAAAGAGTTGTATGGGAGGACAAATGGAAATGATGAATAGAGTGACACCACACAGAATCAGTTTTGCTCTAAAGGGAGCAAAACTCAGCTAGATAATGCTCAACATTTGTACATTAGATTAAAAATTAAATAATTTTAGAACAGCTCCACATACTGCACAGCTCCTTATTGCACTGACAAAAAGAACTAAGACAAACAACAGACATTTTAGCACTGAAATGGCAAACGAGGACAAACTCTCCTCACAGCAGTTTCCACAAAGGTGAGAAACAAGCTCTATGTACCAACATGTTTCCTCCAAGGGTTGCTGCAATACTGATGGTTTCCTGCTCCTGACAGTGGGTTCAGGGCCTTTTCTCTTCTTGTTTTCATGATGCTTCCCATGATTGTGCTCCAAGACAGTGCTGTCCTTGCTCCGAGCTGGTCAGCCACTTCAGCTCACCTCAAACCAGGAGGTTTCTGTGCAAGAAGTGCTCCTTTTCCTCTCGGTGCTCAGATCAGCTGAAGACAACCGTCCACTTCTAGGACTAGGAAAAAAGAAATCAGCAGGTCAGATTACAGATATCATCCATGGAGGTAGAGGGTCCATTTCCAACAGGAGGTGCCTCAGCATTCTGGAAGAAATGCCTCCAGATGGTCATCTTAAAATCTGACCCAAAGAAAAGGCTCCTGTGAGTCTGGGAAAACTCAGACCTGAAGCAAAAATCAGTATAATCCTTCCAGATGTTTCACATATTCATCACCAAACCCCCAGATACACAGGCCCATTTTGGGCCCCTGACAACAAGAAAGACATTGAGGTGCTGGAGTGTGTCCAGAGAAGGGTGATGGAGCTGGTGAAGGGTCTGGAGTACAGGGCTGATGGGGAACAGCTGAGGGAGCTGGGAGGGTTCAGCCTGGAGAAAAGAAGGCTCATTGGGGGGGGGCTTATCATTCTGTACAACTACCTGAAAGGAGATTGTAGCCAGGTGGGTGTAGGTCTCTTCTTTCAAGTAACAACCAATAGGACAAGAGGAAACGGCCTCAGGTTGCACCAGTGGAGGTTTAGACATTAGGATGGATATTAGGAAAATTTTCTTCATTGAATGTGTTGCCAAGTATTGGAACAAGCTGCCCAGGGAAGTGGTGGTGTCACTATCACAGGGGATATTTAAGAGATGTGTGGATGTGTCATCTAGGGACATGGTTTAGGGGTGAACTTAGCAGTGCTGGGTTAATGGTTAGACTCTATGATCTTTGAGGTATTTTCCAGCCTACACAATTCTATGATTCCAAAGCTCTCTAAAATCAAGCCTTTTTTTTTTTTTATAGTATTATTTCAGGTGTGACAAACTTTTCTGGCTCTCATGTTTACACCCAAGTTGACACAAGTGGATGACTAACACTTTCCCCCTCTGTTATGCCATGGTAAACACCTACATGTGGTTTCTTTCACCCAGGTGTGTGACAACATTGGCCCATATTCTTAGGCACATGCGACCATGGTTTCCACATCAAGTTTTGCCCAGTGAGATCACTTCATACTTTTATCAAATGTTGCTGAGTCATGGGATCAGTCAATTTTCCACCTGTTGTTTCCAGACTACTATACCCCTGGTGACTTGAGAGAATTTTAACTTTCAAACTTTCAATCCTGACCCAAAGCCTGATAAGATGCAAACACCTTCACTTTTCTTTGGATCCTTCAGCTGTCAAAGCAAGAATTGTAATCTCAGTTTATTAAATTTGGAGTACTTCAAAACACTTCCTTTCTCTTTTTCCTCTGTTAGGTAGGAAAAAGTTAATTTTAGCAGGAGTTTCAGGGACGGTCTTTTTGTTTGGTTTTTGGGATTGGTGTTTGTTTTGCTACTTTTTTGGGGGGGTTGGCTGGTGGTTTTGTGGTTTTTTTTTCTAGCAAAAGAACCTTCTGCACTGCATTTAAACCTGGCCCATAACAGCACGGCTAGATACAACTGAAGACTAAATTGGAGAGGAAGGATGCAGGAGTCAGAAGTTGCACAAACATGCAGCACCTCCTGCCCCAAACGACCGAAATGGTGATAGCAGAAGGGAGACAGAATTTCCTTAACACCTCTCTTTTCCTCTCATAAATCAAGTACATTTGCACACACTGTCATGGAAAGACACCCTGTGGGTTTTAGATACTAGAATCAGGACTCAATAATAGACTGGACAAAAGCAAGGAAATTATTTTTGTGAAGGCCAAACTGAACTGACAGGTTTCTCTCAGCAGATAGCAGGAGCACTGCAGATAATTCTTGTGAGACAGCTAAAGTGGATTCCCTTTTATATATATTGTGTGAAACCACTAAAAAGCCTTGGTACCAAAAGAAATCTAAGAAACAACAGATAGTGTTTCCTAACTCTACTGGAAAACTTTTATCTCAGTGATATCAACACCTCAATACTGCCAAAGTTTTCCTAGAAAGCTCCTGAAACACAGTTGTTTCCTTGTGTTTAAATGTTTGCTTTTAATGAATTGTCCTGATATTTTAAAAAACCCTCAAGCTTTGATGAGTACACAATATCAATAACCACCGAACACACTGACTGGGCTCTGACTGGTTTCCATCCATCAGGCATCCTAAAGCAGCTTTGCTGGCATACAAATCCATATTTTTGTGAAGGCAGCAAACAGGTCATTTAATTGGGATTTTGGACTCCTAATTCTATTCTTTCCTTATTCAGTAACCTTAAAGTTAATCTAATTTACAGATAGGGAAAAAACTCACTGGCATTGTCTGTCTAAGGGGCTTTGACATTTACAGGTGAAGAGATTAGATTAAAATATCATTTTCAATTTTGTAACAACAGCAGTAGGTTGTGTAGCAGTCACAAATAGCTATCAACTGCCACTTCTGGTATTTAGAAGCTTAATATCCACAACATACTTTTGAGATACCTGAATCTCCTTCAGTAAGCATTTGCCTTAGAAAAACATTAAACTGGGTAAGATGCAGTGGATGGTTCTGTTCTTTCCATGTACATATAAGGTGTGTAAATTGGTAAATTAAGCTGTTAATGAGGAAAATAAAATCTTTACCTTTTCTAGACCCCACTTCCGCCTTGATGAAAGGCAGTTCATCCTTAAGGCTTCTCTTGTCTGTGGATTTAAACAAAAAGCATTAAAGGGAACAGTTTCTCGGGGTGTAGAAAATGTTCATATAATCCAGAATACTTACCTTTCTGTCCAGAAGTGTCCCAAACAACAGGATGAAGAATCCCTACGAAATTGCAAAACTAGTTAACAAAACCACCATAACCACATGATGTTTCCTAAGTGCTTCTAGATGTCATTTCCTTAAGGATAGACCTCATCACCTATGACTCAGATAACAGCAATGCGCAAAATGGGTTTATCCACCCAGGTCACACAGGCTCCCCGGGAACATCAGGAATAGGCATACATCCCATGCTAATTCTCACTACAAACTGGACTGATGGGTTACATTCCAGGACTTTCTCAGCCCACTCAGTAGCAGCCTGAGTCAAGAGCTATGGCAGATTGAATGTACAACTGGATGATTATACTGATGAGTTAACCAAAACCATAGATTCAATCATGGAATGGTCTGGGTTGGAAGGAACCTTAAAGATATAGTTCCAACCCCCCTGTCATGGGCAGGGGCACCTTCCACTAGACCAGGTTGCTCCAAGCCCCATCCAAGTGGCCTTGAACACTTCCAGGAATGGGGCAGCCACAGGTCTCTGGGCAACCTGTGCTAGTGCCATTTTCAATGGCAAGTGTGAATTTTCTGTATATTTGTTAATCTTTGCAGTTACAGGACATTAATTGATATTTTATGTTTAACAGAAATTCATCATCTTAATTCCTCATCACACTAACTAGTTTGTTTCATTGTCCATCTGCATTTACTATACTAACACAGGATGTCTGGTGTATGTACCATATAAAAAGGGCTGAGCTGGAAGGAAAATCCTATTTTTCATGCACAACATATGCTTCCAGCCCCATTTTGAGCCAATACCTTTTTCCAGGCTCAGAGTCTGAGCACACATTATTCCCAGTCTCGCAGATTTTACCTGGAAGGCATTCAGTAGTGCAAACGTAATGTGGAATGCCAGAGAGCGGCTGTCAACAATTGTTGCTAATCCAAACCCCCAGGTGAGACCCAGAAGAGGTGTCAGAAGGGCAACATTTTTGCTAATTCGGATCATACTGCTCAAATCTCGTGACTTGCAGCCTTCTCCAACAGTGGATCTTCCAGTCTTCGCCACAACCACCACCACCACCACCAGATTCACAACAATGATGCTCAGAGCAGGTACAACAAAGGCCAAAAGGGCTTTTGTCTCATACCAATTGAGCCAGCAGGCTCCACTCCTTAAATACCCATTTTTTGGTTCAGTAATAGCAACAGTGAGGATAGATATGACCAAGGGACATCCATATCCAATAAGGAATGCTGCAGCTAGGAAAGCTGATCTTGTTACCTTTAAAAAAATTAATAATAATCCATAGAGAATCAAAAGGCCCAGTGTAAACATCCAAAAAAACAAGGCAAGATAGAAAAAGTGAAGGAAAAAAGTGGCTGCTACACACAAGTGGTAGTTCAGGGCTGCATTGTGCACAATAGCTGCCAAGATGAACAAAACATCAGCAATGAGAAGCGATGCAGCGATGTTGACCAAACAAAAATGGCGCATGTAGGTTATCTCAGTTTTTGTAACGTGATGCCAGACAAAAGCCTCGATGATAAGGCACAGAACCAAGCTGAAAATGGAAAGGCCTAAGCCCACACGTGTGATGTAATCCAGCACTGAGCTGCGCAGCGTGGCGGGGGACATCAGGATGGAGAAGGATCTGTATGTTCGGCGCTGATGTGTGCAGACACAAACCACAGTGCTGATGCTGTCAGACTGCACTTTGCATGGCCTGTTATCCCATCGCCTCTCAGCCGAGTGCCACCCAACACACTGAGCCTCAACATGCTCCAGTTTATTCACCTTCTCAAAGGTGAGCAAAATATGCCTGAGCTCCTCTGGCAGAGACACCGACAACACCATCCCATTCACAAACACAGGATCCAAACGGTTGGTCTCTATAATGGCTCCAAGAGTTGGGAATGCAATGCTGATGGCTTTGGAAGTCCTGGGTAACTTTAAGAGCTCTTCTTCTGGAATCACTACGTGCCCAGTGATATTGCTTGTGTCATTGAATTCCATAGAAAAATCAAAGCTCTTTCCTGAAGTATTTTTATGTATGCTGTAGCCTTTCGTAGCAATGAAGGGCTCCTGTATGCTTTCTGACCCATTCCTTATAGGAAGTTTCCCAGCAAATAAATTCACAGAGTCCAGTAATACTGAACCAGCATTTCTGTCCTTTACGAAAGCCCAGTTGGAAATGATGGAGCTGTTCAGAATATGGTTTGCTATCCTGCTGTAGCTCTGAAACAATCAAGAAAAATATAACTTACTTTGTATGTTAGAAGAAACCACCTATTATTCCACTGGCAGAGCCTCCAGAGAGGATCATTTATTTAATACTTTAATGATTTTTATGTGGGGAATATTTGTTTTGACAATGAACATGTTCCTATGATCTGTCCCAGTCAAACCCAAACATCTCATTGGCATGATCACTACCAAAATTGTCCTATCCTCTTTATGCCACAGCTCAAAAGACGATTAGAGAAGCAAGTATAAAGCAAAAATCAGGACAGCTAATTTGGATTCCTGATGCTGAACCACTCTACAGGCATGATTTACATCACCCTCCCTGTATTCTTTCCTCTACCTCTCTGATTTCTGAGTTCATCAGGGACTGTGTAACCCATGACAACAGAGCTGTGGGTCAGCATCTCCAAGGCTGCCTTCCCCACAGTGTCTTACTTTAAAAATTAATTCTTCCTTCTACTGCTATCCCATGTCTAGAACAGCAGTTCCTGAAAACTTTTACTTTTAAAGAATTTGAATTCCACAGTGTATTTTCATCACACACAAATAAGTCAGCTTCTCTGACAACAAAAATGTGACTTGCAGCCCTCACTTCACTGGATATTGGCCATAAGAACAAAACACAGCATGGATGCTCTGGAAAGCTCAGAAGCAGTTCCCAAAGCCCATAAAAGTAAATACCTTCATTTTTCCTCTAGTGACATTCTCTGATAGCAGTAGGGAAATCTTCTTTAGCAGATCCACTATATCAGCAATGTTTCCTGGAATGGCTGGTGAAGACAGGATATCCGGGATGATGCATGAAAAATCAGCTTGACAGCTATTATTCCCACGGTCATCAGCACCGAAATGTTTTGCTCCATCTCCAGGCTTCCCATGCCCTGTCTCTCCTTCTCCTACAAAAGGAAGACGTCCTCCAACACCACCAACATGTCCTCCGAAGCATGGGAGTTCATGTTTAGATATCCTCTGGAGGAAGGAAAATACATTTGTGAAAATTAATGAACAGAGTGAAAACGAAGTCACAGCTACCATGAAAAAAGAGGCCCAGTGCATTGAATGTCATGGATGGATTGAAACTCAGGACCAAAGCTCACCTGGGAGGAATGTCTTGCTTGTACTACACACATGAAGGAAGGGGCAAGAACTAAACACAGTGCCTTATTCTTCTAGTGACTTGAATAATGCCCTTGCAATTGAGAATTTATCATGAATGATCTCATTATCACAGACATTAGTGTTGCTCTTTTCTGAGGTTTATCCTGTGCATTCCTGTCTTGGTTTAGATGCACGTGAGGAACATCAGACAAGTGAACAAAACAATTCCATTTCTGAATCATGTTTCCACACAAGAATTTCCCAAATTTATATCCCGACATCTGATTTAAGACCATGAAAAAAGTAGAGCACAAATCATGAGGAGTGACTGAGGGGTCTGGGGATGTTCAGCCTGGAGAAAAGCAGACTCAGGGGGAACCTTATCACAACTACATGAAACAAATTAGTAGTGAGATGCGGGTTGGTCTCTTCTCACAGGTAATATGTGACAGAATAAGAGGAAATAGCCTCAAGTCACACCAGGGGAGATTTGGATCCGATATTAGGAAAAATTTCTTCACTGAAAGGGTGGTCAGGCATTGGAACAGGCTACCTAGGGAAGTGACAGAATCACAGTCACTGGCAGTGGTCAAAAACGTGTGGATGTTGCACCTGGGAACATGCTTTAATGGTGAACATGGCAGTGCTGGGTTAACGGTTGGACCTGAAGATCTCAGAGGTCTTTTCCAACCAAAACAAATCTATGATTCCATGAAGTCAAAGCCTGTTATCAAAAATAGTCCATGTTTTAGGTTCCCATTTTATTCCCTTTGCTCATGACTGAAAGCATATGGAGGGAAGGGCTGTCTTCAGTCTTCAGAAGAAAGCATGAGCGTAGGCCAACACAGATGCGTAACCATTACCTCACCTGAAAAAGAGACTGAACATCCAGGCTTGCACAGGCATCTGATAACATTTGCCACTTTCTGTCTTCACAGACGAAGCTTGTCTCCCCGTGGAAGGAGGGAGAACAAGGCTGAATACAAATTGCTCCATTATGTTGGCAGGGAATGAGATTTATACATGCATCTGAAAAATAAATCAAGCAGATATTGCTATAAGGTGTAAAACAGCATGCCTTGGTGCATGAGGTGAGTATCAGGGGTGTTAAGTATCGATAACTGATAACACCTCACCAAGAATCAAAAACGACATACAATTAATCACTGTACCTTGCTCATTACCAGTCTTTGATTCATTACCAAGAACCTGAAAAATAAGAAGTGGAAGGTACATTGAATGTTTAAGTAAATAAGTAAAAGATGATTCCTTGGCACAAACCAGAAAGATTATTTCAAGGGCAAATAGTCTTCTTGAGGTCCCGAGTGCAGAGCTCATGGCTCCTCATTCATACAGAACTCTCTGCTTAGAAGTCTGTCTCACCAAGCTTTCAGTTGGACCCTTCTACTGAAGAAGTGACACAGTGAACTCATGCAGAAGATCACACATGACTCCAGCAATTATTGCTAAGTCTGTTAGGCTTAAGATCTCCAGTATTTCTTATATTGATGGGAATATATGACTTGAAGATAAGAATATGTGATCTAGATGACTTCTGCCATAAGATAATGCTACAGTTGTGCAAATACCAACAGCCGATTTTTTCCTCTCCTGACTGGGAAGCAACCTCAAGATAGGTGTGCAGAGTTCCTGCAGGCAGGAACACTTGCTGGGAGTGCATGTTGTACAGGCTGGAGCAATCCAGAACCACTTCCATTTCTGCTTGGTCAGCTGGGCGATTATCTACAACCTTCCAGTACCTAAAGGGAGCTAATAGAAGGCAGGAGAGGGACTTTTCACAAGGAGGAAAGGCTTTAAGCTAAAGGAGGACAGGTTTAGAATAAGTATTAGGGAGAAATTCTTCCCTGTGAGGGTGGTGAAGCACTGGCACAGGTTGCCCAGAGAAGCTGTGGATGCCCCAACCCTGGAAGCATTAAAGGCCAGTTTGGATGGGACTTTGAGCAACCTGGTCTCACAAAACTTACCCTGAGAACAGTGTGAGGTGTGGCTGGGAAGAAGTGCAAAGCCCAGAGTAGCAGGCAGTGGGCTACCCTCACATCCATTGCTCTGCATGTGCTGCTTTCCTCCTGGAAGAAAAAAGTTAAAGAAGTTTATATATATCTGCTTCCACTTTTGAAAGCAGTCTAGGTTGCTACTAAGAAAGCAGCTAAACCCATCCCAAAGACTGTCCTTTCTGGGTTTTCAAGGTGATTTTCAAGCATTCCTCATTTATTACTTTTACTGAGAATGATTTCTGAACCCTTTCTTAAAATAAAAAAAAAAAAAAGAAATAAAATCTGTCCAACACTGTAACTTATGGCATTTATAATTTACTGTAAATTGTGAGCTGGAGAATGTATTAAAGCAGCTCAGCTTGTGGGTCACTTCTGAAGAGATTTAAGACAGCCTCATCTCCACTGGGTTCAACACTGCTACTCTCCTTGGGCAGTTCCTGAAGAGATCTGTCATGAGAGGTAGGAAACACAGGCCCTTGGGGCTCAGACATCAAAATCTGAGAAACGAGGACCAGACTGAAGTAAAGAGTTACTTCCTTTGCAGAAGGATTCAGACCTCTACTCCCTTCATGAAGTTCCTCATGGTCCTTGGTAAAAGCTTAATATCCTGGGATGCAACTTGCTACAGGCATATTTGCTGGAGGAATATAATCCAGTAAAAGGAATGAAGGAAAAACAATGTGCTACATCAAATCTGATTACTACATGTTTTACATATCCAAGGCAAAACCAACAGCTGCTCTGCATTCAAAAGAATTGAGACACTGATCTTCTATCACTGTATTTGTAAGTAGACCGGGTCATTTAGTAAAAAATAAAAAAACAAAACTACTGAGCTAAAACACTAAAGCATGAAATAAATGCACACTGGCAAAGCAGGACAGTGGCTGGATTTCAGGAGATGCACATATGAAAAAGCTCATCAAATCATGCCTTTATAGGAGGCACTAAGTTTTCTCCTTGAAACATACTCATCAGCACAGATGAAGCTGATCAGAAGCATCAGAAGCAGAAGGGGTCCTTCACTGATGGAAGAGAGGTCCATTTTCCCATCTAGGAAACTCCAAGCTCTCACCTTCTGACAACATCAATGGTCCAGGCACACACCTGGCTGCCCCTTCCATCACCTTACCACCTTTTTAGATTCACAGGTTTATTAATTATGAAAAGGTCAAAGGGAAGAGCTTGAACGATGCACTGAATTTCTGAGCTAACTCAAAAAAAGAATCTTGTGCCAGCCTCTTGAATTCAACTGGTATTAGGAAAAGCATTTTCTAGGTTAAAACCTAGCAGCCATTACCTCTTCTAAGGAAATAAAATTGATAAGGAGAAGTGAACCAAAATACTTGGATTAACATTGCCAAAGAACAGGAGGTGGCTGGGAAACACCTATAGGTTTGAGGCAAAAGGTTCTATCCGATTCTTTTCCAATTTCTGCAGTCATTAAATGTTTATTGTATGCTCATAGCCCTAATCCCATTTCATAGCTCGGAATCCTTGAGTTCATCATGTTTCACCATTAATTAATTCACATTCATTTTGTATTTAATCATCGATGGAACTCCACCTAGTGCTGTTACCTTTGTGTGAGGCAGAAATCTGGGACACCTCCAGGTATCTAAGGCTCACTGAGACACTGTCCCATGTTACCAGAGAAACACTGATCTCGCTCGGCTGCATTGCTTGACTCATGATGGAAACCACCCAGTCTCATCACGGCAAGAACCTGCCAAGGTAACTACTGTGCAGCAAGAGAAACTTGGAGCAAAACAAGTAATGCAGCAGCAAGTCGCTGTCACTTTAGGAAAAAACAGGGAGCCACATGAAAGCACACATAGCTAGTCCTATCCCTCCATACACCCCATTACAGCACTTCAAACAGCAGGTGATATATCTCTTATCATAAACTATCTACTTCCATTAATCCCTGCCTTTTAAACATGTTAGTACATGCTACTCCATGTAAACATCTCCCCTCCTCTAGAGGTTTCTGTGCCATCAGGACACAGGTACGTGAGCAGATGAGTTGTCAAAACACTCTCACATGGAGGAGAATTTCTAGTAAGAGGTCACTTCCATACCCACAGGTATCTCCCACCCAGCGCAGGAGATTGTCACCAGCTGCTTATCCCCTTTCTCCAGCTCATTTCAAAGTCCTCAACAAGAGGGAAAGATCAAGGAGTGAATGGGTAGACAGTGGTTACAAGACAGCAAAGAGTCTCTTAAATAAAGTTAAGGAAAGGTAAACTGATCATGTATTTAAAAAGCAATCTATATGTTGGTTAATGCGTCACAGCCTTAAATTCAAATCCCTTACTCTGTGACTCCTGTTGGTTTAAAATAAAAGTATTTTGTAAAATCCTAAAAACTATCCTCTTTTCCTCTACTACAGTTAAGTTAAACTATAGTTAAGCTTGTGGGAAAAGGTATCCTGCACAAAAAATTACAAGCACACATTCTACAAAATTAGGATTTATACTGGCCTTGCCACAATTAGCTAGACAAATATATTTTCCCAAACACTGCAAACTTGCACTGTATGCATTTAAGATTGATTTAAAATATTAAATCCATTGTTACAGAACCTAATATTTTTTTTTTTATTGCTTGAATGACTATATGGCCTGCTTAAAACTCAATAAATCACCATAATGTGATCACTTTTCATTTCTAACAAGCATGTTAAACAGGCTGTAGCAGGAGAATTTAGCTTCCATCATTGTCATCCAAGGATAAAAATTAAAGCTCTTAATTCTCCAGAATGGTATTAGTTGTATTTTTTAAGGAACTACACTTGGAAAATATGAATTTAACTAACTCCTTAATTCAGGAACTTTAGCCAGCAGAAAATTCCAAATTTGCTTAAAAGTGACAACAATGTGATTAGAAACTAATTACAAAACTACAAGAGAAAGAATGTCAGAGGTTAATTAAGATACTTAGTTATTTCCACAGATGCAAATAGAATACAAACAGAGGAAATATGCGCAAAGTAAATGCAGCCTTAGCAAAAAATGCATTTTAGATTATGAATGAACCAATTTCACAGACCACTGATAATTCTTAAGCAGATCTGGAATAACGTTGTTCTGTGATAGTACTCACCGTTTTCAGAAGTCTGAGTTCTACTGCAAGCAAATTCAAACCAGCCAGAGATCCTCAAGGTATCAGAGGTGACTAACTAACCACTCATCTGCTGCCATCGTGCCCCAGTCTCACTCTTGCAGTCTTACCCAGTGCTGCTTAGGTGCTCCAATTCATTTAGAGTTTTCCCATGAAGAAATAACCTTGGGCATCAGCTGCTTCTTTCTTGCCTGACTGGATTAACGTTGAGGAATCTGCAGATGACAATGAAGGTATTGCACTTCAAAATGACAAAACAAGTTACAAACACACCCACAAAACTGCCAGATTGCCATTTCTGCCAGCAGTCCACATGAATGAATCACACCTGTGTGGTTGGTGCCTTTCCTCCTGGAGGAGACAGCTCCTGCTCTTCTGTATTTCACAGAATCATAGAATGGTTGGGGCTGGAATGGACCTTAAAGATCATCCCATTCCAAGCCATGCCACGGGCAGTGACACCTTCCAGTAGACCAGATTGCTTGAGCCCCATCTAGCCAGACCTTGAACACTTTCAGGGATGGAGCATCCACAACTTTTCTGGACAACAGATCTCCTAAAAACCCCAAAACAACATCTGATCAAGTTAATGCATAACCCTTTATAAATTCAAGATGACACTACTGACAGTAGCACAGCTAAAAAGCTCAATGAACAAGTAATGGCCTTTTCTTTAGGGCTGCATATCAGGGGTGAGAGTGGTCTGTTGAACTTTGTGACATGGTCACTGTTGGGTCTCTTAATATAACCTGACCTTCAACAGCCATTTCCAATTGCCAGTAATGTACAGCAAGTAGACTATTGTCACAGAAGAGCAATTCCTAAAGGTCTTTCTACTCTCAGAGGTGCTTTGGAAGAGCTTGGGTCACTAATTTTTACCACATTCCTGTAATATGTTTGTCAGGAGCTTACAGGTTTTCCTGAGATACTGTCCACAACTCCAATCAGTCCTTGGCCACAGGTGTGTCTCCAGCTTTAGCCTAAAGGTAGGTATTTTTTAGTGTTCTGTTTTGATAAAGCCACCCTCACATTGCCATAAAATAGGAATTTAGCTGAGCACAGACATAGCCAACACAGCCCACCTGGGAAAGTTAAATGACTTGTACTTGATACAGTACTGGGTAGAGATGAATTAAAAGGTAATTAAAAAAATTAAAGAAGGGAAAAAAAACAGATCATGTCAAGGTATGGACACTTCTTTTAAAAGGCTTCTTGCCAAAGTCATCTGGAGCTGTGCTTCTATTCACTCTCTGAACCTTTACTATGATGGCAAAACTAAAAATGCCCCTTGATCCTCAAATACCTGCTCAACGTCAGCCCTCTGAAGGAGACAAAGACCAGTAAACTGCAACACTCGGACACACAGGCTTCTCCCAGAAGGAAGAGGTGTGAATCTGTGCTCCCAAGGGCTTGGAAAGATACTGAAACCATGATTTCCAACAAAGACAGCACTCCAAACCCTGAACCCAGCAGCATCAGTCTCATGCTTTACAAGCTGGTCGGGGTTGTTTGCATTCCTCAGGCTGGGAGGTATGTGCCCAGGCACCCGAAGGGAGTGGTTTGTCTTCTCAGCTCTTGCAAAATCTAATTACCCAAGATCTACAACCAGCTGCTTTGACACTGTGCTGACTGTTTACTTTCTCAGAGATCAGCAACACTTCAGGTAACTTAACAGCAGCCAGGATTAAGGCAGCTGTGAAAAGCTGTTTTTACAACTTGCTTTGAAAAGAGGTAGCATACTTCTGCTAATTTATTACTTTAACGAATACAACGTATTTGTTTATAAGTTCAACAGATATTTTGCTGCACAGCACAAAGTCAAACCTTGCAATACATCACAGCTTACATCAGAAACTTCACTCCCCTAAAGCAGTATCAATGAAAAAAAGTCTTCATAGAGACTGCTTAAATAAGCTTTTTTTAAAAAAGACCTGTATTATTTTCTTTTCAATCGTGCACTGTATGCAAAACCAAAGCTTTTTAGATAGTCAAATGAAGACTGAATGAAAATCTTGCATTTTAAAAACATCCTTCTGTTGTTCATTTGCCTTTTTCCCTCACCTATACCCCTATTAAACATGCCATACCCTCAGCCTTTGGCCCTTCACTACATACTTTAAAAGGGATCCAAACATGCATTTATCCATGTTACTGAGTGGCAATAGGGATCTTACAAAAAGGCTTTGAAGATGCACAGTAAGTTCAGCTCAATATGTACCAAAAGGGGAAAAAAGTGGGAATGAAGAGATCCTGAGAAGTTAAAATTCCCAGTTACATCTGAAAAGAAAAACAGTATGCTATTTGGATCCTAAGTCATCCTGGCAGTGAGGAACAAGAGCATCCCAGAGAGTATATGAAAATCTGAAAGCCTCAAAGGGGAACTATAAAACAACTTTGCTCCCACCCACTAAACTCCTCCTGCAAAGAATCTAATGGCAAACAAAACATTCCCAAACAGAACAGAGCAGACATTCCAACAGGTTTTTATACTTGTTTTATTTGCTGAGTTTGGATAGCATGCATCATTTTACAGCACCGGTAAACGAGTCAGTGAAGCATCCTGCTCTAAGGAACTTGGACTGTGGAATGTCTTCAAAGCCATTACCTTCTCCCCCTCCACTCCAGTACATAACACTAGCTGAAGACAAGACACACATATATCAGGGCAACTTCCTTATGGCTACAAATACTCTTAGCAGCGACTTTTAAAGGAGGGTTTATTAAATCAAGTCATTGCACTTGGGTCATTTATTGCTATAGCGAACAAAGGCCTTTAAATATCAAACACCTTTCGTTTGTGGCTTTAACTGATTGTCCTGTTCTGTTTGTCCTCTACCAGCTCACACACAGGCACAGTTTCTGCAGAGCAATCCATTCCAAGATTTGCTTTGTGCTCTCATCACAGTGAAGATCTTGTGTAACAAAACAGGGTACTCCAGCTCAATTCTTGCTTTTTATCACCTGATTTACAGGTATGAATTCTAACCAAGAGTTTAGTCTCTGATGAGAAGCACTACTGCTGCACATTATTCCTCAATATAAACACTTGGCCCAACCTTTTATTTGTGATGCATTTAGGCAATTAAAAGCATTAATATTGAGTCAGCTTATCAGCATTTTGACTAGCAATTATTACTCAATACCTGCATAGTATATTAAATAAATTTTGCCAAGTATTTGAATCAGCAATTAACAAACATCCTCCAATTGACTTTTGGACATTTGTATATTATGATGCATCAACTATGGAAAAAAGTACACTCTCAAGAAGTGACACTTCCATGTCACTTGAGCAAATGACATACTAGAGAGCTACTGTATTTATGACTATTTCCATGAATGGAAACTTAATTGCTTCTTTTATTGGTGAAGCTGCCAAACTACGTGGCATGTCTTTGTCATTCCAATTATAGCAGACCAAACGGAGATGAGGTGATTACTAACAGAACTAATGCATTTGACTGGCTTTCTAAAGTTGTATGTTTTTTAATTCTTTAATCAAATGAACACAGCAATAAACACCATTGTCTCCTATCACTTTGCATATTATTTGTGTATTAATCTGGTGCAACTGTTGAGATGGGGGGTTAAAGATAATGGTACAGATTTCAGCTGTTTTCCATAAAATAAAGACACTGTCCTAGACACCAGCACAATGATGTCAAAGCAATTGTTCCAATCACTCATTAGAATATAAAGATGTTATTAAATTTAGAGGTACACAATATACTGAGAAAGTTTATGCTATAAATATATAAATATTGAGACCTTTTGAGAGTATCAAAGTTCCAAAGGGATTTATTTGGAGACACATTATAAACAAACCTGACTATTGTAAAAACAGATCAAGATGCATATTGAACCACCAGAAAGACTGACAACTTCAGTTTAGATACACACAAGTACAGATGTTGTGACTTAAGGTTTGCTTTTCCATGCTGTAGACCGTAATAATTTAGGCACAAGAGGTTAAGACTGGACTTGAGCCTTGTTTATGTATGTCTTGCATTTTGTGGTTTTAAAAGATTAATTTTGTCATAATTTCATGATTCAGTCCTAAATCCCTTTTTAATCCAATAGTGCAAGTGACAACCATTCTGCTAAACTACTTGGATTAGATCATTCATTCTCACTACAATGCATAGGAGTTCCACCTGCTTTATTGCACTAATGAATTCCTATCTCATTACTCAACTTATAAACAGCATAGTATTAATATTCTCACTGCAGACAGGCACAACAGCATAACCCTGGGTAAAACTGCCAAAATTATACAAATATCATATATTCCCTTTTGCATGTAGGGGGAAAAGTAGTGACTACAGTTATGATACAGTTATTCCATCCTTCCCAACAGACTATTTTACAGATTAGTTGTAAAGATAGATCACCCTATTTATAGTATAGATCTCTTTAAAAATTAAGCTACAGGTATTCAATAAAAACCTATTAAGAATTCCCTCTCCTTTCTATACAGATTCAGTAGTATTTTCAAGCAAACCAAAAAAATAAGGTCTGCAATTCCAGCACAGTAAGAAATAAGGCCTCTTTTATATTGGCAAAAAAATTACACCATTATTTTTTTGTTTTCTTATCTCTCTGAATATAAGACTATATTCCTTTTTCTATTATATTTTTTCTTTAAGACTGTAGAACACCAGCATCCATCATTATGAAATAAGAGTCCATTCTCCTTGTGTTCAGCTTGGAAATCCTGGTGAGTTAAAAACATTGAGTCCATAGCTGTCTCATGTAGACATCACTGCTTTCTTCAATTTTTCTACTTCAAGCTGGAAAATGGACATTTTGAAAATAAAGTCAATATTAAAGTAGCAATAATCTACATTCTTCAGACCTTTTGCCAAAGTTATAACCTTTATATTTCAAATACATTTAAGTAAATAATAATGTAACATAGAAGCATTTGACAGCTCAATATTTACAGCTGATTTTGTACTAACTATTAAGTTCCTGTTTGTACTAAACAAACAGGAACTTAAACCATTAAAATTTTACCTGGAGTTCTGGTACATCTTATTGCATAAACTCACTCTGAATAAAGCAAAGCTGGGTTGTGTAAGCACTGGACATGTCCCCATGTTACATTGCATCACCTCAGACTAACTTCCCAAAACAGCCTTCATGCAAAATGCTGTGCCATGATTACTTTATATTTCTTCCAATGAACTTAGAGGATACCTAGAAGTCACCTCTTCACCTCTACTGCATATTTAAGGCAACTTCATTGACTGCCTTAGAGCACATTAAAAAGAGGACTCTCCAGAAGTTGTTTTCAAGTTTCAAAGGCAGCTTTGTAGTCAGTAAGATGTACTATTTCACAAATAAAATGCCCTACTGAACCAGAAATAATTTCCTACAATGACCTCATGCTATTAATTACTTAATGGCAAGTAGTATTCTTCAGCAGTAAATTGAGGAGTGACATTCATTCATAAGGAAATTTTTTACATGCATTCTGCTCTTTTGGCAAATAATCCACACTTAATATTGAAACATTCATCAAAAATTTAGGCAAGTCTAAGAACTTTACTTTTACCCTGGTTTTGATTACCTGAAGTACATTTGTCTTTCAACCTTAAAAATCCCAAAGTATTAACTGTCTCTCTTGGAACATAACATGACCAGTTGAATGTATTTGTAGCAAAGAGCAGGATCTAGCAACACTAAACTGAACTCAGATCCCAACACCCACACATATTGTTACAAATAATATTCCAGATACGGAAAGCTGAACTAAGATGGATTGTGGATCTTCTACATACATCCAACTGCTTCACGAGGCATTTATTCAGTCACAAACTAACACAGCAACATGAAAAAAAAAAGACTGAACAGGCTTATTAAGACTTTCCTGTGATATCAAATCTGAGAACAATGCCTACATACTTCTAAACTGCTCATCCCCTCCCAAACTGTTAACATTACCTCCAGAGTACTTCGCAACAGCTTCTCTTCTTCTAAATCCTTCTTTAGTTTTTCCAGTTCTCTCCTAAGAGTAGTAAAGATACCAGAAACACAAGTTATAGGGAGGAAAAATTTCATATTACTGAGAACAGGAAGCACAGGTCTTTTTTAAATTTTACAAGAGGAATTCACATAATTGTCTTATGACAAATGCTATAAATAAAACTTATACATAGGCACATTCCCACTAGCAAACTGTTTCTCAGCCCTGTTGGACCACAAGCTTCCACCCACTCTCCATCTATTTAATTTATAATCACAATTTTAAGTATGCTACAGTTTGTACTGTTATTTTGCTTGCATTGTATTTAAGCTAAAATAACCTGGGAATGTCTACATAGAGGACAGAAATTATTTAGACTAGAAAGTTCCTAAAACATGTTTTCTTTTCTAACTACGTTCATGTGACAAAGTGCTAAGAATTACCATCAAGTTGCAGAAGAACTAGTTCATTAATCTTCAGAATTTGTATTTTACTAGCTTTCTTTGGAGACCAACTTATCCTGACATGTGCTAACCTCTCAAGAAGTCACTCTAAAAGACAGTTTAATTGGCACTAGTCATCATTTAAATAGTGCCAGTGTCTGTGCCATGCAACTAAAACCAGAAAAGATAACTTTCCTGCAGATTGATCTTTACTATATTTACTCAAACACCCACTACATTGTCTTCCTCCATCATTCTCCAAACACAGCCCTATCCATGTGCACACACATGATGGGTCACCATGATCACCAGTTTGAAAAGCTCAGTAATATCTTTCTCCACTACCAGTCATGTCAACGCTGCAAGTACTTGTGTGCAGTGTTACACGAGGCCAGCACAGGTACTTATGTTATTACCACAAAAATTACCTGCTTTTCCTTACGATGAAAACACAAACTGTTTAAGAAATACTTTCAAAAAGCTGTATGAAGGCACGAGTGCCAAGCAGGAAGGACAAAATACATTCAAATTCCAAAATTACTCCGACACCAAATTTGTAAATATTTAGGACATTTAGTCCACTCAACTTTGAAAGAAAATATCTGTATTAACGTATTATTATCATAGAATAATTTTCTTATTTTTTAAATCTGGCATTAAAGACATCTATAAGATGTTTATATATCCTTTTGCAGATTGAGAAAGAAAATATTTACCCATGTTCTTTCTTCAATGCATCTACTAAACCCATCAAATCATTAATCTGAGTCCTGAGCTCTTCCACAGAAATTTTTTCATCATCCACTTCTCCTTTATGTTGGACGTCTCCAGGTAAAAAGTCCAGTATGACAGAACTTGGTCTCTGAGATGAAGATGGAATTAGTGGGCTGAATGCAGATGGCTGAAAAAAGAAATCAGTAGAAAGCAAAGAAATTAAATCTTTGTGAACTTATCACTTACAGCACAGAGGGTGTACTAGGATGGGAGCCAAATATGCACAAGTGTCCGTAATTTTCTACTTAAAAGGTAAAAAACAATGTCCAGTTCAAATGGACTACTGTAGTATACAAGATAGTTATTGTATACAGCTTTTAATTAAGGATCTCCCTGAGGTTCCTGTAGTCACTAGAAAGGCACTGACACTGAAGTTCTCAACACTTAAAAAAAGAAGTGATTTAATGAAGCCCACTAGATCATTATAGAGAAAAGTTTTGTGAACTTTGCTGCTCAGTTGTTCTGTCTGTTGGGAGACTAAAGGCTGAGCAGACATCGAGTTTACTAGGGAAATATCACCTGATTTCATGATACAACAGTTCTCATCAGAACTGATGCACTTTATACTGAAGCATAAATGAACTTCACACTAAATTTTCTATTGTGAACATTGAATGACACAGCTCACTTGCACTTAAATACAAGTGGTTGCAACAACCTATACCAGAAATGCAAGCAAAGTGAACAGGACACCAAGGTGTCTGGTACTCCTCTAGCTCCTTGGTATCATCATACCTTTTTTGTTTCAACTGGCTTTGGTTTGGCACTTTCTTCTTCTTTCTGCACCTTCAAATTTTTTTCTGGACACACATTTTCACTTCCCTGGTAAACCATTCATAAAAAATGAAAATGTTTTCAGAATTAAAAAAACCAATGTAAACAAAAATACCTGTCACATGTTTCTAGATGTAAAGTAAAGGAAAAAAAAAAGAGCAACTAAACTTAAATTGCCAGACTAGCAGATTTATCTGTCCATTTGGTCACAACTTTCCTTCTCCACATGCAGCTGAACATAAACCAAACACAGCAATCTTGGGCAGGATTTTTAAGCATATCTGCAATACTTAAGTTTTTGATGCTTTTGGGAGTCTGTATGTGCTTCCATAAAACACAAATGGGCAGTACCTGTAGGTGGTAATTGGTATCACTGAAATACACAACATCAAATGATCTAAATTGATTTCAAGGACTGCACCACTTGGTTCTCATGGTCTGACAATCTCACATCACTACATGAGATTGCAAGTCCCACATTACAGAAACATTAAGTTACAAACTTGTAGGTACCAAAGACTGTACATTGTTATGCTTGTAAAGCACTACAGACACTTTCAGAGCTGTGTGCATACACAACATCTATTTTACCATCAGTGATGCTAGAAGAGCTGAGTTTTTACTGCAGAAACATCCCATGGAACAGAAGGACTGCTCCAGCTGCAACAGTTGTGTTGTTTCTCTTATGTTCACTTTTCTCCTGGGAATGGATACTCCTCTAGGCAAAGTCTAGAGGAACTAAGCCTCTGCTGCATTTACTCTGAGGTAAATGGTTAACAAGACTGTTTCCTGGGAAGTCAGTTCACAACTAGGAAAATACCCCAAATATACTCACAGGACTAGCGCTATTGAAACGCGAAGGCAGCCTCCTACCAGGCATCTTGGGCCGGCTCGCAGTCGGGTGTGACAGGTTATCTGAGGTAGCTATTACATCATCAAAGCTTAAAAGATCTAGGAAAAGATGAAAACATAGACCACCATCAAGACCAGAAGGTTTTACTGTTCTTTTTATCACTTTTTTTCCTTAAGACACAAAAAAACCACAACCCACAATTCCTATTGTTCTGAACATTTTCAGCATATACAACACACAAGCCATATGAAACAACTATGACTTTGACATATCTGGAAACCCGTATTTTCCCACTTGAAAAAAATTAAGAGTTAATTCAACTACCACTTAAACCCAAGTTATGAACAGAAGAAGTGCTGCAGTGACATGGCAGCAAAGAACAGACCTGACAAGAATCTGCAGAAAAGTAAGTGAAGGTTTTTTATTTTCATAAGAGTTGCCATAGTCACCTACTTGCGAGTGTATTTTCTTGTTGCTAAACTGAAAATGCAAGTTTAGTGACTAAGACAAAAATAAAAGCAACATGGTAAAGTACACACTGGTGTGCCCCACACGCTGATGAGAGCAAGTTAGCAAGACATTAACTGCAAATATTTCTGTGCAGGGTATTGATTTCATATGCAGTACCTAAGATAATACACGACTTCATAAAGTCTGTAATAAAACATTATAAAACTCCATTCTCACACTTTATTAAATCATATACATGCTTGTTAGTTTGTTTAAGCTCACAACTCTATGTAAACTCTCTCTCAGATCAGCAGAAATGCTTTATGCCTCTGGGAAGAGGCAACTTTTGGAAAAAACTTGTGAATAGGAAAACCCAAACATAACTGCTCTAGTGGCATAACTACTTCACCTAATTAGCAACTGGACTTATAAACCATTTCTCCAGAGAAATATACTTACCTGGCAACCGACATGTAGTGAGATTGGGTTTGCATTTTTTATTTAAGCATTGACATACCACTATGGTTATTACACGTCATTTTACAACCAAACCCATCACTTATTCTATAAGCTCTAACTAAGATGCTGCACAGCATTTGCTATAGGAACCAAAAGCAACCTTCAAGACTTTGGGGTTTTTTTTTGTGACCTCTGATTCTTACATTATATTTTGACTTATCAAAAGGAAGCTATGCTACTACTTTTTGTATGTTCTCATTCATTTTGAAGCTACAGCAAGAGGCCAGATAAGAAAAAAAGCCGTAGGAATGCCATTCCTGCCCCTTCAGTGTCTGGATGACTTTAAATCATCTGAATAATGCAAGTTTTACTCATTCACTGTCAAAGCTAATTTATACAGGCAGGTATTAAGTTTTCCACTGAATGTTTGAATTTATTTGAATGTCTTCTCTGCAGTATATCCTTGAGGTCCTTAAAACATTCACCTCTTTTGGACAGCCCTGATCGACCAACTTAATCCTTGTGGAAACACAGGCATTTATAACACTATCTGTCACCAATCAGTTTTGCTGCTTTTTACGTTTATTAAAGAGAATGTAAAGACAGACTCTTGCAAACATGCAATCATATTTGCAATTCAAAAAGCAGGGAAGAAAAATAAAGAAGGAAGAAACAGAAGAGTGATGAATGGCAAGCGGCTGACAGAAAAGAGGATGAGGGAGAAATAAATGTGAAGGGATTTCTGCTGTAGTCTGAAAATAAAATATTTGATTTCATACAAGCCAACAGCAGTGACCAAGGGGTAGATCTTCATGGTCCCAGAATACTGACCCATCACAGAATCACAGAATGGTTTGCTGGAAGGGACCTTAAAGTTCATCTAGTTCCAACCCCTGCCATAGGGAGGGACACCTCCCACCAGAGCAGGTTGCCAAAATGTACATCAGGATTTACATTAGTTAGGTATTATTAAAAAGGTTATAGGAAAAACATATTTGCCTTTTCACCCATCTCAGAAAGTTTTTACTTTAACAATCCTTTTGTCATTCTGCAGAAATGACAAACTGTCTGGCAGTAAACATTGCCAAGAATTCCAAATAGAGCAGCTGTTACAACTGCAATCCCAGCCATGTCTTCACGGACAAAGGCAACATTAGGCATATTAAGAATAATGTGATAGTCTTCATCTTCAAGGCTAGTCAAATATTGTGGGTTTTTTTAGAATGTTAGTCTTGCACTGTAAATGATTTAAATATGGAAGGTGGGTCGATACCAAAGCCATGGATTTTTAGAATTCTTACAAATACGCAAAAAAAGAAATTGTTACACCTGAGAGAATTGCTCAGCATTAAAATATTACAGTCAGAGGGAATTCCGACTGTACTTGCATTTTCATTTTTACCTTTCCATTTTGTTGCTTTGGCGTAGGGAAGAAATTAAAACACAGGCTGGTGGGGATCAGGGTTTGTATTTTTTGGTGATGGCAGTGGGTTGGTTGGTTTGTTTTATTGTGGGCTTAGGGGAGTTGTTTGATGGGTTTTCTTTTTACACAGCATTCTTAGTGACTTTAAATTAGACCAATAAACTGTTAAATCAATAGATACTGATGAAACTCACTGAAAGTTCACAGTTTATACACATTTCAAGCAATAAAGTGATCTATCAATTAACATTCTTACAGACAGCCTGTGAGTAATTGGCAAAGGAAATCCCATCATAGTGCCAAGAGAGCAATACCATACACCTGGGGATAACATGGGTCAAAAAAGGACTTTAAGGCTGAGCAAGAGCACCTTTCTTTGTAGAAAGATGAGCTAAGCTCACAGTTACTTAGGACAGACTATTAGAAATGTCTCTTCTGCAAAGTTTACCATGGATCCATCACAGAACTGTTAGAAGCTTTGACAGATACAATTAGGCAAGCAAGGTTTTGTTAGCATTTGTGAATGCTTCAAGTGTATTCATAGTAGTTTGCCTTAAAAAGCCTTCACAAAAAGAAGCAAAGCTGAAGTGCATCTAAAGAAATTATGGTTCCACCACCTCGTGGAGTTTAAAAACCTGTGATAGGAGTGAAACATACCCAGTATTTTAGAAGACAAGAACTCACGTTAATCTGCAGAGCAAGAAGATGGCAGCCCTTTCCCCTATTACTCATCTTGCTGAGATTCCACCCCAAAAATTTAGAGGACACATATAAGCTTTAGAATATTTAAATAAGCAGTCAAGCAATAGTAATGCATTTGCTACAATTAAGCATGTGCCTAACATTTAACTCAAAACTACTGTTTTTCAAGACTCATGATACTAAACAGCCAATCCAGTGCCTAAAGGCTTTGTGATTGTGTAATTTGTGTGTACGAAACAACTAACCCATTCAACTTCCATACACCAGAATTGCTAAAAGTATTGAATACATTTCACTATACATACTAGGTTTGGTTTATCAACAGCTGATCTGCAAAGTTTTTCTTCTTTTAATCCCCACAAGTTCCTAATTGAGAAGTATATTTAAAGTAACTTCTTTAACAATTAAAGAAAACAGGCATTCAAACAAACAAAAAAAGCATTTGAAATAGAAACTCAAAAATTTTAGTACCAGTAACTGTAACTGAAAATCATGTTTATGATGTTAAGAAGAGGCTATGTGTATGGCAAAAAGCATTTGGATTTCCTTATAGATTGTTATCTTACCAAAATGGAGAAGGGTAGGGTAATTTCCTGACACGTAAGAAGGGAAACATGGCAAACAGGATAGGAAACAAAATCTGGAAAGAAAAGTCAAGGAGAGGAATGTCTAGAAAAAGATTCTGAACAAAAAAATTATTTTACAAAGCAGGAAAAAGAAACATTTGTAGAAGAAACAGAATTGCTTTACATGTTCAGCATGCCAGTATCACAGCTTTAGTCCTTTACAGTACTAGAATTCTAATTATCAAGAAACATTTATGCAATTTTTCAAAGAAAGCTTCAAGAAGAGCTATTTCAATGTGACAGCTGTTTCTGAATGGTTCTGAGTATTTGTCTGATGGCTGGAAGCCTAGTTTTCATATGGGATTGGTTGTTTTTTTCCTATAGATACAGAATATTTACAGCTTCTCCACTTCATGGTCAACCTAAGTTATAAAAAATAAGACCCATATGTAGATTTTCTAAAAATTCATTCACTTCAGGACCACAACCAAAGTGGCGGGTGGAGGATGCATTAAAGGCTCTGGTAATGCAGTTGACAACCCCAGCCACATATTTTACCCTACCTTTTAGTATTCATTCCAGTTTTTGTAAGATTTAACAATCTCTAACTTTATATAAGGACCCAACATCTTTGGAGCTTCCTATACACTTAGCTGCTGCACCAATTATTATGTCTTTAGCAGCACAATGTATGCAGGGACACTGAGCATGAGATTCATTACATTTTACAGCCAGAAGTTTGGACTAGTCTCTTTTCATAAGAGCAGTAAAACTGCAAGTGACATATGCAGATTGTTTTAAGCAATGTCAGTTTGACATGACAGGATTTTTGAATTTTTCCATCAATAGCAGCTCCTTGATCCTGCCAGTGCTGCATCCCCACACAGACTGCCTGAGCCTACCTTGCTTGCTCTGCACCAAGCAAGAACCACTGAACAGACCTCACCTATGTGCTTGTTAGGCACCTCTGTCCCTTGCCCCACCTAGGTGTTTAAATCTTTAATTTCTCCAGGAGCCTATAAAATCTCATGTCAGCAAAGCAAATTCATAGTTTGTTTGGGTTTTTTTCTAAACTCACATAAAATTAAGGGTTTTTATATATCTATGAATATCTAATATCACAGGCTGCTACTTTGCAACACTGGTTATTAAAGGTGTCAAGATAATTGCACCTAAAGAAAAAACCAGATATTCCATCTGTTTTGCTATGGAGGCTTTTCCTGAGGTTAAATGATAGTATGCTACACAGGAACACATCCAGCACAATCCTTGAGATAATCAAAGAATCACAGAATGGTTTGGGTTGGAAGGCACCTTAAGATCATCTTGTTCCAACCCCCTGCCATGGGCAAACACCTTCCACTAGACCAGGTTGCTTAGAGCTCCATTCCCCCTGGTCTTGAACACTTCCAGGGTTGGGGCAGCCACAGCTTCTCTGGGAAACTTGTGCCAGTGCCTCACCACCCTCACAGTAAAGAACTGGTTTCCAGTATCTAATCTGAGTAGTAAAACAAGACATCTCACAGCATAGGCATAAAATTTCTGGGGAATAAACAAAGAAGAACTTTTACTTTAGGATAACACTGATAATATTTGTAATATTTACAAGATATATTAATACCTGATGAAGTCCAGGTTTTTGTGACTCAGGAAAATAAGTTCTGTATCAAAACCATGTATGAACTAACCTTTCCTCATATAAAGTGTTTATGCTTAGCAGTGCATTATAAAATGCTTAATGAAAAAAAAGCAGGAGTACTCTTTTCTATTCATAAACTTGTTCAGTTTTTAAATGCATTATTTTTATCTCCCAGGTGAACTTATTACACTTTAGGACCAATTATTCTACCATTGGATACCATAATTGGTCTAAACCAAAAAATAAATCAAGTTACACTATTTTAAAATTTATTATTGCTAAAAACTCTTCTGAGAATAGAAGTTGACAAAAGTAAACTTTTTATTTAAAAAAAAAAGTTTGACAAATATGGCAAGCATTTCTGCAGTGGTTAGTCATACAACAAAAATAATTCAGACTTTAAAATAATATGCCCACAGCAGATGATCTCTGCCTAAGAGTCACACACAAGTCTGATATCAGCTGCATTGTCAGTAAAGGACAAAAGGTAACTATATAGTAGCTCACACACTGACTATCAAATGTGGGTGGTTTAACCAGTGCCAAGGTTTTTATTGGAGAAATCTAGATTTAAAGAGATGCCAAGTTTGGGTCAAGGTGCATTAGGCAAGGCCATAAGCATGAAATTCAAATATATAATGAATGCTCCATGCTGGCCCCAATTTAAGGCATGATAAAGTCATAATCTAGAATAGCTCTGAACTTAATCACAGAAGGCTGAAGGTAACAGCATTACTAAAAATACATAAGTTAGCTAGAAAAGCAAGTTATCTGAAATGCAAGAGCAGAACAAACAGAACCAGCCAGTAAGGAAAACAATTTCATAAAACTCAAGATAAAAGTGGCAGCAAAAAAAACATGCTTTCAAATTAGAAGAACAAACCATTACCTATATTTCTCCTTTCCTGTCATCAGAGCTCATCAACTACCTCCAAATACCCTACTGACATCTGTCACCCCTTCCTCACTCTTACCTTCAGCTACCTACAGCAGTTCTAAAACTCCACTTTCCACTGAACAGGCATAACTGCACTTGTTGGCTTTTGAGTAAATGACTAAAAAGCTTGTTCTAATCCTGTAAAACACTGCAATCCAAACAGAAAGATATGAATAAAGGTTTCATTCTTTTCTTACCTGATTCCTTAGAGCTCTTTACCAGAAGTGAATCTACCTCTACTGATTTTGGTCTAAGCGGTAATGGTTCAGAGTCTAACTTTGGTTTTGTTACTGGCTCAACCTCAGATTTTGGTCGAAGGGAAACAACTTCTCCATTAGTTCTGTAACAGAAAAAAGAAAAACATGCCTAGTCAAAAGATTAAATAGTTCAACAGTGAAACATACCAAGAATAAGAAGTAAATTGACAAATTACATTAGATTTTATCACTACCTAAAGCCTTGTTTAAAATCAAGGCTTTTTGAGATCAAGTCTATTCCTATAAAAGCCAATTCTTCTGTGCCAGCTCTTGCAGAGTTGTCAAACATGTACAAATCTCTTGTGAAAATAATCTAGAACTTTTACTGCAGGGCACACTTTGGCACTAAAGTCTAAAATATTACACTTCAGAAAACAAGTGAGCTGAATAACATCTTCAGCAATATCTCTTGAAACCTACTCCTTGACATTAAAGAAATCTTCCAGTGCAGAAAAAAAGCTGCCAAAACCAAGTTATTTCTTGCTGGGTATAGAGTAAACTACCTTGTGTATATGGCTTTTGTTCTACCATGCATTCTTTGCATGTGTGCTCACATCATTCACAGACAAAAAAAACCCCACCCAACAACCAAAGGCCACAAAGAAATAAAGCCCTCACCAGAATATATAGACAAAAAAGAACAGATAACATTTTCAATTATTAAAGGCCCACAGCTTACTACAGACCTCTATTTAACTGCACATACACATCCCTTTAGAGTCATTATTATTTCCTAAAATGGAGAAGAATGTGACTTGAATGTGCCTTAAAAATAATCTTTACTTGGAAAAGTCTCCAAAATCCCAAGCGAACATAACACAATTCTATACTGAAAAGGTATTTAAGGTGCAAACTCTTTCATGTAGCAGCTGTCTGCTCCTTTATTCACACAAGGCCATGTGCATCATGACCTTATTTTCTCATGGTTCTTTCAAGCCAACTGAATATCCCACAGGGACAGTTACCCATCAGCAGTTTATTTACAGTTCTGGGTAAGGATCTAGCAAATACTTTGATGGAGACAGAAAGGAAAATTCTATGTGTGGGAGGTTGTGTTGATGCAAAAACAGTTTCAGTGAAGCACTATAAGTATTTGTTTCAAACCCATGATAAAAAACAAAAGTGGGTCTAAAAGAAGTATTTGTCCCTAATTGTCCAGTCACTCAACTGAGAAGGCTCAAGTACAGTCAATACAGACTCAGTACAAAGACTGAATGTGGATCTGTAGTGCTGTCTTGCCCAGAAGACGGCATGAGCCACACCGAGTACCTTTAAGCACAGGTACTACCTGTGCCCAATTTTTCCTTTGCATCTATCTTATCCTACATAAAGTGCTGAAACACTGAACACTCAAACAGCTCAAATCTTCAGGGTTTTTCAAAACCATAATAATTTAATTGCCTTCTCCACAGGTTCTTTTACACCACATTGTTACTGGAGCTACAATTTCTGTATCATGGGGCAGACCTAAACCAAAGCAGTCCCAGATGTGTGACTTTATCTGCCCCGTGGTTAGCTATGCTGTAATACTGACTCTGAGATGGATTCAATGTCTCAAAGAATCTGAAAGCTTTAAGTTCACATTTACAGAGACCTGGAGAACTAAGACACCAGTAGGTGTAAAGCAGATTATCCTTGCATCCTTTTCACCCTTAAAACATACATTTCATCCCACCTCATCCATGAGGAAAGATCAAAGAACAAACTAAATAAAATATACTTGGAATACACAGTTTAAGCCATACTGACTTGGATACAGATGATGGCAAACCAGGTTTATCCGGACGTTTTGGGTGCAAGAGCCCTGCTCTCAGTAAGCTGTTGGTCTTGCTTGGAGGAATAGGCTTCTTGGGTGGTACTTGAGGAGCTTGTGGCTTCAAAGGCTTCTGATCCAAAGCTCCTTTTTCATCTGACAAAATAAGTCACTATTTTAAAAACCCACAATGTCTAGAATTCTTACACTGCTAATCAATTAGAAAGCAACTGCTGTCAGAAATACGTTTGAAGATCAAAGTAAAAAGTAGATCTGCAAGTGTCTTAAGTTATACCTTACCAAAACAGACAAACTACTTACCTGAGCTTAAAAAATATTAACTTAAAGTTAGCAAAATGTCTTTCTACTGACATGAAACAGTGGTAAGAAATTATGGATGCAGGTTATTGCACTGCAAATGGTAGATAAGAACCAAGAATCTCTGTACTAATATTGTTTTGTTTTTCTATGAATTCACTTCCTCTCCTCTTAAAAAGGTAGAGGTTTTTTTATTTTGCTATAACTAGACTGCTTCCATGCACACAAGCAGCATAATTTATCTATGGGACAAGGGAGGGGGATTTGTATTAGATATAGTCCACTTTCCTCCAAATTCGATACAAATCATGTATGGATTATCAAACCAAAGAAGTTAAATTTACTTTTCAGTGACTGAATGACCTAATTGAATACTGTCCAGGGGAGCTGACATATAGCATAAGGCACACTGAAAAGTTCAAGCTGCTTCACAAGCATTAGTTGAATAGTTTTCAACACACATTCCCTAATCCCTCCCTGTGGGATACCCAGAACATACCTTCTACTTTTCTCTGTAAAACTGTGCTACAATTCAGTCAGGTATACACAAAATACCGAGGATTTAAAATAACTAATTGTAAGGTCACAGCAAGGGGTTACAATTCTTTACAGTTACTGCCCCACAAGGGCAGTAAATCAGTAAACTGGGATGGAGTGACCTTCAGCTTTGATTCTCCCCATCCTCCTCTCCTATGACTTTGCTGTCACCCAAGTATTGATCTAATGTAAAATGTTTACATACGGTATGGATTTGGGAGCAGGGCCGGATATTTGCCTCAGCTCCAAGCCAGTTAAGTGCCTGAACTGCCAAGTCTATGACTGACTTCATTTGGACAAGTCCTGCAGACAATGAGTGTCAGTTCTCCAACCCTAAAATGGAAAACTGCTAATTTTCTTTCCCAGGAGTCTCTGGAAGTAAACAGATCCTAGAGATACTTCTGCCAAAAGCATTGTCCATGGCAGAACTGCCCTCCTGCTTTAGGACACTTGAATATCAGGAGGTGATATGAACAAAAAGCCTAAACTGGCTGGCATCTCCTTCCAGTCTCAGCATGGAGTTAAAACCCAGGCTCCAGCAGTAGTGGAAGGATTGGCCACACGGTGGTGCTGCCTGCCCGGTGTAAAGCAGCCCGTGAGCAGCACCAGCCCCTCCTGCCTACTCACCCTAGAGAAAACACTGACATTTTATACGCCCAACAGCAGTCGGTATTAACTGAGGATCAATTTGGTTTATTGAAACTATGCTGAACACAAGTTGGGAACTAGCCCTTTTCCTTTTAAGAATAAGTGAGTTCATAAACGAGGCAGAACTCTGCTGTCATCAAATCCTATTCCTGAATTCTCATCTGTAAGTTTTCCCTTCAATTACTCCCACTCAAAATCTGAACATAAAAAACGTCTACAAGCTAAGCGGGAAAACTTAATACCAAAGGCCAAGGTTCACCATGAGCACAGAAATCAGACATTTCTGCTGGACAAAATGACATTGCTCCTCAATGAAACAGAGGGCGGGCTAAAAATAAGCAGTTTAGTAATGGAAATAAAGATACTAATCTGAAGACATTTACACTGGGCAAAGGTTTTTACATGACACCACTAAATGTGCTTCACTGTAAATACAGAAATACTTGTAGGAGTGCTGCTTTTAATTTTTGATCAATTTTTTATCACAATTAAAGGCAGATTTATTGGGCTCCCAACAGGCATAAAAAATCTACATTGTTTGATAGCTTGTGATTAGAACTGCTCAATTAATACTTTTTTTCCCCTGAAAACTAATTACAGAACAATTTCATACTTAATGAGTTTAACCACTAGTATGAGCATGATTATATTTCTGCAAGTAAAACTGCACTGACAAATGGGGAAATCTTCCAGTAAAACACAACTATCTAAAACAGTAACTTTTAAGACCTGACCTGCAGCTGAATACAGGACAAACTTGTCCTCCATCATTTCCTGTACCTCAATGAAGGACAGTTCTCTACCTTCTGTAATTTTTCATGTTCTTAAGCATTTTGGAGGGTGTGGAGTCTTGCTCGCACAAAAAGAAAAAGGGGGAATTGTTGAGGAATGGCTAAGGGAACAGGGGCACAGCTCCCAGAGAGCACTGTGCGAGCAAGAGTCGAGCAAAGGTCTGTGGGAGCTTTGAGCATATAACTAAGAAGTAGGCCTCAGGAGTTTAGCTTCTCAGCATTAGAAGTTATTTTTGCAGCATGATATTGTAGCCAAAGGACAAGCTATCTGGGAAAGCTCAGCAATGTTGCAAACCCAAGGATGAACTATTCCGGGAAAACAAAGAAGGATTCTCCAGAAAACAAAGACTTCTTCACAGCTGCAGCTGCAAGCAGACATAGTAAATAAATGTAACCTGTAGAGCTTAGGTAATGCTAAAATGAATAATAGGTATAGTTGTCCTGCAAGCTAAGAAAGTATACAAATGTAACTTTTAGGGTTTAGGTAATGGTAAAGAGAACAATAAGCATAGTTGTTCATGCACTGTATAAAAGATGGATGATGGTTTACAATAAACGAGTCTTGCTGGACACCATTGGGTGCGCATTTCTCCCGTCGATCTCCCACAGTCACTCAGTATATTTTTCCCATATTCCTCCACAAACAGTTGAGCTCAACTACTGAACCACAGTACAAACAGAACCAGTCTAAAATTAAACTTACTTCACTTTAAAAGGACTTCAAAAGAGCCAAGTGATCAAAATTTCTGGAATCATGCAGTTGATCTCAATTCAAACATGAAGGTACTGCTCCAACATAAAAATAACTTGTTTGCTCATGTACAGAACAAACAGAACTGACCTGAACAAGTGTTTTTCATATGCAACACCCAAAAAGGTGTTTTGTTTAAAAGGGGCTGTAAAACTGCCCAAGGAAAAGCCATTGAGCAGGCTCATGTGTACAAATGCTGTTCAATCACCGTTCACCATTCACAGAACTGCATGTGGGTTTGCAATTTGGTTAAGCTGCAGTAACATCAGAATTTCTTCCTCAAGGCCTAGCCAGCACATTTGTTAAAACTTCTGACTTTTAGCCACAATGAAAGTAGTTTAACTGTTTGTCTTGGCAAGTTTTTCAAATATGTAAAGAAGCCTTTTAGAAATGGGTTTGGGTGACAGTATTAGTTTTTCTTTGGGGAGAAAAAAAAGGTGTTCTTTAAACTTTGAGAATAAAGCAGTAAACATCTCCAAATTCTCTGGCACCTGAAAACATGGAATATAGCAAGAATTAACAGGACAAGAAATCTCTACTTCTGAGCATCATGACTAACATTTGTATAAGGGTCTTGTAACGGTTCTGTCTTTCAAAATACTTTTGATGAAACACGGATTTTGGCCAAAACTTTCAGAAGTAGCAGTTAACCTTTTCATTTCTAATAACTTACTGCTGTTATCCAAAACTGCAGTCACTGCCACAGATCTATTCCTAAATCTATTCAATAGCACCTATGTTATTATGCAATGCAATAACCAATTTTCAGAATGTAAGGCAATAACAAGAAATAAACATTTCAAAACAGTGTAGCTGTTGTTCTAACCACTCCAGAGACTTTTCTGTAATATCAAGACACAACAACTTCAGTAGATGGTACCAAGACAATCTGTATGATTTCTCCCAGAGAGCCTATTGCACAAAGTAGCCAACCCAAAAACTGTAACTCATTTAAAAGAGTATGGTCTGAAATCTCCTATGAAGAAAACTGGTCCCACCTTTTTCTTCAAGCCTCAAAGCAGGGAATTTCTTCTCTCCAGATGGCAATTCAGGCCTTGGAGCTGAATGAAAAAGCAAACCAGAGACATTTCTCAAAGAGCTTTAATTATCTTGGTCACTGACTAAAAATAAGATATAGACCAAGTTGTGTTTATATTTTCTCCTTTGCAAGGAGTGCAATACCATTTGTAAACACTCATTTGAGTCCAGAAAATGGTAAGCCTGTATTAAAAGTTTCCAAAGTAGGCTCCATCATAATTATGAAAAATATACAGCAGCAGCAAAATACATAAAGCATGAAAAGTAACCTCAGAGTCTGGCTATGTGTGGCTGCATTACTAAGAAATACAAAGCTACTTCTGAATTTTGTTTTGAAGTCATCCACTGCTGCTGCAATTTAATACTTCCTCAGACACAGACCACCAGTCATATACTACGTACCTGGACTTTTAACAGGAGGTGGAGGTTTCTTTGGCTTCTGCAAAATGAAGAGGGGAAAAAAATAAAAAAACCAGTCAAACAAATAAGCAAACAGATATTCTGCATCCAACACAGCCTCATTTGGTTTTGCTTTGCATACTGTAATGTGGAGCTTGTTTACAAGCTGATTTCTAAGTATTTCACAAAGGAGGCAATCAATGCACAGACAGGAAACACAGAGACCTAGAATAATTCCTCTGCTATCTCCCAGACAACCAATTGCAAAAACAGGAAGAAAATTCAGGTTTCTTCAAATCAGAGCAGTTCTCTAGCAACATGTATAAGCAGCAGAGGGACAAAGAACTAAAACACAAGAATTACATGTTTCCTCATCCAAAGAATTGCTTTTTGTAAATGTAAATCTCAATCTTAGTACCATGCCAGTTTAGAAGAGCAAGCAGGTTAATTTTTAGAACAAAAATTATCCCTTTCACAAAAAAAAATTCCTAATAACTACCACAGGAATGGTTTCAATTAATTGACTTCTGAATTATACGCAAAAGTAAAAACTAATAGTTGGCAGCATTTGCCTCAGACACTGCAGTTACATGAAAAACAGTATTTTGAGCTGTCTTATCACTGCATATTGAAGTGGAAAAGAGGGACAAACTATGCTAGACATTAAAAATTTACAAAGTACCACAGTGCAGCAGTTTGTAAATTGAAAACTACTATTCTGAAACACAGTCACTCATCACTTTCACTTCCCTTACACCAATATAATGGAATTTGAATCTCTCCTGTTGGAGGAAGATTGGGACCTCTCGTGACACATCTCAGCCATTCATCTGGAATCCGATTCATGAAATTGCTCTAGAGAGGGTGTCTGCATGGCTGCACTAAGGACAAGATTCTCTGACAAAACCATCACAAAAGCCTACAAAGCCTTTTGTTCTTTATACAAACAATGCTGAAACGATGCAGACTCAGTCTAACACAGCCCCTTAAAAATGCCTTGTCGTTGGTATTTTAATACAGTTGCCATGGATAGATTTCACTTATGTGCCCCAACTGCTATTAAGCTCTTCTTAATGCAGCAGGATTTTAGTCTGACATGTGAAATGCAATTAAGCAAGCAGGAGAACCCATATTCAATTTCTTTCTCTAGTTTCAAAGAACACAAAACCAAGTGAACTTAAGTAACATGACTGTATTTTCTTTCTCAAAAAAGCAACTACATTATCCAGCTGCGCAGAAATGCTGCCTATATCAAAAACAACTACACTGAGAGTTCAGCATCAACTTGCCATTATACGATTCTGATCTGTGTTTTTATTAAGTGAGCAATCAGCCATGCAATGCCTCGAACTTCAAAGCTGCTCAGTGCAAGGTGAATCCCTGTACTGAGACACACTACACAAAGCAGAATAAAGGATCAAAGCAAAGTCTGCCTGAGGAAATGCTGTTCACAGTAAAAGAAAGATTTTTTTCCCCTCTCTCAAGGGAAGAATTCTGTATTGTGAAACTGACACTCTCCACCTACTCCTCAAATCAAGTCACTTGTACATTACAGCACTTACGCCACTCTTGCACAGCTGAGAATCGTCTGAAAAGAAAATGCTGACTTAGGTTATGCAGACTTTCCCTGCACACGAGGCAATTAAGACCAAATGTTAAGTTAATAATAACTCCTGATTTGGAGCAGAATCCATCCCACCTGGGGATGACATATTTTTGAATTAACACAACCATCTTTGTTAAGCAAACTTGATAGAATCAAAACATCTCACTAATCACAAAAAAAAAAATAATTGTTGAGTGAGAATTAAAATTACAAGATCAAAGAGTATCACATGAAAATCTGGATTTCTACAAGTTAGCATATGAGATGGTGAAAAAGGTGTATCTAAATGCCACCCAAAAATTGTCCTACTGGCAACTCTTGACGTGGAAAAATCCCGATCAGTCCCAGAGGGGTCATTCAGCATTTTGTAATTATTGTTACTTAAGGACTTCAGATGAAGGAGACCAACTCCTTATCCCCTGTCAAACCAGTAAGGATTTCATTCAATAATCAGTAACACATAGCACTCTGCTACTAGAACTATACTTTTTCTGTATGATCTAATGACCCTCATTAACTGCAGTTCAGGCGTGCCTTAATTTAATATTTAAGGACAAGTTTTAATGATTAACCTGGACATCATCCTTGATACAGCTACGTCAAGATGAAGTTAAAACTGCCACACCTGTAATATTTTAAGCAGCATAACGTACTGTGAACTCCTTTATTCTTCGCATTTTCATCAGTTCTTTTTTTGTGATACTAAAGGTTACATGTAAGAACTTACAGGGAAGTCTTTATCAGACTCTTGTATTTGAACAGCAAAGTTATCTGGGAAGACTCCTTCTTTACCATTGAGTTCTCCTTTCCACCAGCCTGGCTCTCCAGTGTCCTAAAATAAACAATAGGTCACTTGAACCAATATTGACTTCTTCCCCAGAACAGATACAGTTACAGGAAGAACAGTTTTGCTTTTACACACAATATAAAATAACTGTTGCTCTGAAATACCGTGTTTCTAAGACCAATACTTTTTGGCCACCTTAGCAATGGGAAACAGCTACAGATCAGATCAGGTTTGGTCAGTTTTTGTTTGTTTTCTAAAATGCAGGGTGAAATGATATTACATCATATATAAGATAAGGGGATAAGATCTGTACAGGGAAGGAAAGTTCATAAACCCAGTTATGACCCAACACACAACAGTCACTCTTCTCAGCTTCCTTGACCAGCAAGTTATTCAGTAAATACTTCAAATATTATAGGAGTAACACGTTTCAACCCCCTGCCATGAGCAGGGATACCACTCATTAGATCAGGTTACTCAAAGCCCCATCTAACCTGGCCTTGAACACTTCCAGGGATGGGACATCCATAACCTCTCTGGCAAAACACCTTAACACTTGGCAAGACCAAGACCCTTGACTGAGGCAACCACCTGGAAGTTACACACTGCTACACTCAGACTAGAGAAGATGGTTTTTGGAGGGAGAGCTCTGCCCTGGACAATTCTTTTTCACTCCACTATGGACCAGTGTACGCTTTGGGCAAACTGGTTTAAAAGGACAGAGAGGCAAGACATCCAGTGAAGCTAGGGCAAGGGCTGCAGTGTTTAAAACAGTGCCTTCCATAACTACTCTTTTCCACTGTAATTACAATCAATGATGCTCATATAATTTTCCTTGTTAAGAAGAGTAGCCACCTTTTCCATAAAATAAAAATCCTCCTAAAGAAAAATGTGTTGGCTTTCTGTGTGAAAGCTGATGATGAAACTCACCACCTTTTTTTGTTTTTGAAAAGTCATCATTCCTTAATATAGCAGCATATAAACTAACAAAAGACTGCAGAGCACTGAAGGAAGACTGGGTATGGGTAGGTTAAGCTCCCATTTAGGTCCATTCTCCACAACAACACCGTCTATCAAAAAGGTGCTTTAGCAGTCAGCACAAATGAGAACATTTAACATTAACTGCCAGACACTATCATTAACTTCTGCATGGTTAGTCCAAAATACCAAGTACCTCTAACACCTGGATTTCATTCTCCTACTGAAAACATTTTCAGTTTTTTTCATGATACCTAGATCAAAATCAGTAAGTACAAATTTGAATTTCTCACCTTTTGACAAAATAATGCTTTTCAGCCACTACCTCTAGGTCAGCCTGATATACCACCAGAGAAAATGAACAGGTTCTGAACGTAAAAGGGCTATTTGAAAAACTTTTCCAATTTCCTCACTGAAAAGTCATTTGCTACTAGGTGTACACGGATCCCATTGGTCCTTGAGGACTCCAAGATAACATTCCACTCTGGAATGACCTTTGAAGACACCTCTATCTCCATCAAGTGCAGAAAAAAAAGAGTTGACTCTCGCATGAGACAACTCAGTCTACAGGAATATCTACTCCAATACTCTCCTGCTTTCACATGTTACACATTACCTATCTGTACAAAATCCACAAAAGCTATACAAATGGTTAGAACAGACCAAGCTTTCTTACCTTACTGATTATTTGAATGATTTCACCCTCTTTAAAGCTGAGTTCATCATTTGAGCCTTCATAGGAAAATATTGTCCTGCAATATTCCTTAGCTGAAACAAAGCAGCACAATTAATTTGGGTACCATGGGCAGTAACATACATAACACCAGGTCACTTATGATGTCTGAAAGGAGAGCTGGGAAATAGACACTGCAATCATACTTCCCTTCTAGACCAGTCAACCCAGACTGCTTTACGAATGTTCAATATGTTCTTAGTATCTCAAGAAAAATAAGATTATATAATTATAGACCAATGGAGATCAATATCTGTGAAGTCAGGAGTTACAGCCTCAAAACATTTTTTTCACAAGAGCAATTCAAGTCCTCTGACTTCAGAGGGAGAAGAGAGCAGTTAAATTTGTAAGACTTAAAATTGTAACAGCCCATCTAACCATCCCCACAGCTTCATATATTCAATTTTGAGCTACTTCACACAACATTTGTTTCCAGCTTTTTACTGAGAAGAATATATAAAATTTTATCAATACTGATGTACATTTCAAATTTGCAATCCTAAGTAAACACAAGCAATTGCTTTAAGGTGCCATCCTGTATTAACACATACAACTGCAGAAACTTCCAAGTACATCAAGCAGTAGACTGGCTGGAATTCTGCAGTGAAACCAAGTAACTGAAGCAAAGGAATTCCTTGGCTAAGCACCTGAAACCAGAGCTCACCTGAGTGATCAACTCAGACAGTCACAGCCTCTTCTGCAAAGGCAGAAAGAATAATTCTTTTCTTTCCATTTGGTGCAGTTCAAAAACTAATCCATTGAAATGGTGATAACAATTCCAGGTGAAAAAGCAGAAGGATTTGGGGTTTTTTCCCCATAACAGAACAAAATGTGAGAAAGGCCAAACTACATTAATACTGAAGCCTTAATTGCAAAATTTTTTTCCTCTTTTTTTCACTCCGGACATTAATACTGAAGCCTTAATTGCAAATTTTTTTTCCTCTTTTTTTCACTCCAATACATCTAAAATAATTTCATGGATAAAAAGGTTTAATTTTTTTATCGGAAACATTAAGGAATAGGAAGCAATCAAAAAGGACTCTAAGGTGCTGCTATAACCTGTCAGGTGTTTGGCACTGACAACATGCATAGGTGAGCAGCTGCATCACCCCTCAGAGCAGCACAGCATCAAGGCACCATGTGGATGGTCTGCAAGCCTTAATGACAGCCCTTTGCTGGGTGGTACGAACATAAATGAGTGAGATACAGTCAAATCTTTTTTCGTTGTTGTGTTTTGTTTAATCAAGATACTCATCTTTAGTTTAAAAATGCACAAATTTCATTCTCAAATGAAAATCTATCTTCATCAGTGGCAATCAGCATGTTAAAATACCAAAGCATGGCAAGCTTAAGAGAGAGCTATATCGAGATATCTACATAGATGTACACAGACATGTAACTATAAGAGCAACCCCAGGTACAAGAAGTTGTATAATTTTGCTGCCTTATCTAACGATCAAAAATGCTCAACTATATTGTGGTTTGTGAAGAATTACCGAAATGTAAGAACCACCATGTAAGAGACTAATATTAGAACTGAAGTCCTCTCAAAAATAAATCATATTGACACCAAAAACCCCTTCAACAGGTACACTACAAGTATCTATCAAATTTGAGGATTTTATTCAGTAATAATTACTAAGTCAAATACATTTGTCTACATCCTTATTCTGTAAAATCAGATGCATTTCCTTACTGCCTGGGGAGTTGACCAGTATAATCCTTTATCTTCTCTCCTCCTCCAAGCACTTCTCCCCTCCTCACATACACCAAGTCCCACACCAGACAAAACTGTGCCAGACAGGGGATCCTTCACTCTGCTCCAGCTGCCAGGAAGGCTGGAGACAGGGAGCACTGCACCCTGCCAAGGTCCCCATGTGCCAGGCTGCAAACCTCAGCAGCCAGCACCACCAAGAATCCAGCCATGGACATGAAGTGTATGTACAATCTGCCACTTTAGCATCTGATTTTGTGAGCCTGATATGCTGCCAGTAAATAGGATCAAGAAAGAGTCCAGTTTAAGATGAAGAAAGAGTCCAGTTTAACTTTGCAGCATTCAAACTTTGGTAAATATTCTTAAGAAAAGGTAGCTGAAAACTGAGTCTTTTCCAGTGACTCGAGACTAACAATACAGTAGCAGGAATCACAGATATTGTATCCTAACATAATGAGGGGAAAGAGGGGTCACACTGTGATTATTTAACTTTTGAAAGAAAATATTTTTACACACTTGCACCAGAGGCCAAAACAAGCTTTAAGAAATAGCAGAGCTCTGCTGCAAAGTAAGCCACACTAATCTAAACATTTCAGAGATCTTTGTTTATCTGCTAATAGATGAACACAGTTTATTTTAAACTTGGTCTCTCAAAACTGAAGATCAGGTACATAAACTATAAAATGGTCCATATTAAAATAAAAACATTAAGGAAGAAAAACAAGCTTTCTTCCTAAGGTTATAAGGTGTTCTTAAATGGTGTCTACAAGCATAACCTACTGATGTTCTACAGCATCTGTTACTATCATATTGAAGCTCCTCTCTGATGCATTCATTTATCTGGTGAGCATACTCAGCATGATCACTGGATTAGTCCAATTTCTATGCTTTTAGCATGAGATACACCGGAAAGTATGAAAGGAGCTAAATACTGAATGTTCAGATTGTTTTAGGCAGAGTTAGGTTCATTTTCAGGCAAATTTTTAGACAAGTCAAGTTTCACAGCACTCAGGACTGCACATTGTCTTGCTGGTTCTTACAGCAATAGCACTGAGATGGCTTAAAATCAAGATGTTGCAGTTTTCTTATTTCTGAAAATTATGCATTCCATAGAAAACAACACACCAAAATCAAGTATTTCAACATAAAACAGAAATATACTTGAAACTGCAATACAGAAGTTGAAAAAGGTCTCCTCTGGATCCAGGGAAATGAGCTGTCTACACATCACAGAACTGAAGGTAATTTTTTATATGGGGTTGGCACTCCCACAAGATGTTCTGGGTCAGCTAAAAAATATCTCTAGATAAAACCATGCAATTCAGTAGTTAAATGAAGTCATAAATTCTGAGAGATAATAAAAGAGAAAACATTATAAACAGAACCACAATGGAACTGGATTATCGAGGGAAAAGACTTCAACACAACATAAGCACCAACTTCCTGATTCAAGAAACTTCATACAGAGTTGCAGCAGCATATCACCACCTCCACAGTAAATCCTGAGCTGAGAAGGTAACTTCTATAACCTAGGGACAGAAACTGTGTAAGTGGACTGTTCCACAGCAGTAGATCTATAGAATCCCACCAGAACACTAAAGGCTAGGCAGAGAGTAAGTCACTTGGAGCATGTCAGCACAGCAAATTAATGTAAAAGGACTGCTGCAACAAAATGCCATACCTCAGCCTTGCTTTGTTCTGGGAAAGAACCCTACAAATGTTTGATTCTTTCTACAGAAATGTAAGCAAAAATGCCTCTAGATTTTTTTTCACATTTGCATAGCTCCTCAAAGATACAGAACATTACACAAAAGCCAGCATATGCAGAAGTCTGAGATTGTAACGCCAAAAAAATTGACAACCAAATACTTCTCTAGAGAGAGCTATCAAGTAACAGATGTAAATGTCATCAGTCTTACCTTTTGGTTTACTTTCAGCTTCTGATTTTACTACTTCTGGTGAGTTTTCAGTTTTTGTTATACTCGGGAAATGAATTAGCTTTGTTCCAGTGGGAAGGTTAGGTAAGGGCTGTATGAAGGGAAGAGAACTTTGTTAGCAAAAATTCTTTACAAGTTTTAGTTTTGATTAGGCTGCAGAACACACTCAGTTTTTCATTAGCTGATATGATGCAAATTATCCTCTCCAAGAGACTCAATGAGCTTTTCCAGTAAGCACTTAACTGTAGTTACTTCATGACAGACACTGGAATTAAAACATTGTCTGCTGATTAAAGATAGAGAACAGTCTTCAAACTAGAAGTCAATCTCAGGATGTGGCCAGATATATTTCTGCAACTGTATCTCAGCAGTTCCAGGTGTCACTCTCCCATTAGCCTTAAAACTGCCTCCTCCAGCACAGAACAGGAGTAGTTATTTAACAGTTTTGCTCCAAGTAACTCTCTGACCATGCTTACTTTATACTGGAATACAGCTGAAATATTCAGCAGCCATACACCACTTCAGCTGAAGAGGAAATCAGTTTTAACTACCCAAATACAAGAGCACATGAAAAACCACCCCTGTTTCCCTCCAGTCATGGCAATTTGTAGAGAACAAGTGTCACCAGAGATTTCTCCTGAATGAAAAAAAAAAAAAAAGAGGCACTGCCACCAGTTTCATTGACAACAAGTTTCAGAGTTAAGATCTAAACAAAATAAATGTTCCAATATTTTTTACAATATTTTTCCCCCAGGAGTGTTACTGAGCTGCCAGGCAGATTCAAACAGCTTCAGCTACACCCACTCCTTCACAGCCCAAAGAGCTACAAACAGAAAATGACCTTACAGCTAGTACTTACCTGAGCAGTCTTCACAGCATCACTGATGTGAAAAGTCCCACTGCCTTTAGTCGCTCTGTTCATTTTCACATATTCAACTTCACAGACTTTCTACTGTCAGAGAAACTAGATTTACTCTCCTTAAAACCAGACAATGCCTGTAGGCTGTGTCTGGTACATCTGTCATACCATAGAGGAAGCTACAACCACTTGGGATGTTCCTGAAGTCCATATGCAATTTAAAGTCTCTCCAGAATGCTATATGAAGGAAGCACTAAAATAATCCACCTAGGAGATGAAACACCTCCAACATGGAAATAGTTCTCTACATTTCCCCGTTCCAAAATGAGATGCAATTAGAAGAGAGGAAGTTTAGGCAGGCAGGGTATAAATAGCCTGTGCCCAGACAGGATGCTGAAACTATCTCCTGCAGCAGCATATAAACATATATACTCTTGAGGACTTCAGATACATCAGTGCTCAGTCTTCCTGTGCTGAACAGCCTCTGAATTTCCCAAGGGAAAAGAGCCCTCTCTACTCTTGACAGCTTGTTTTTTCCTTACTGGCTTAAAGACTGAGAATGCCCTTCCAGCATTCCTTCATCTAACCCCAAAGCAAGTTAAGCACAAATCCAAGGAAATAATCTATTTTCTCAAGACCTTCATGAGAATTATCTTCCTGCAGCTCTCCATGTTGTTCTGTAAGCCTACCCACCTTTGGGATGACTTTGGCAACTAGTGTAAGTGGAACATTAAGTGCTAAACTAAACTGTTTATTTCTTTGTCATTAAGCTATGCAAAGCCATTTTCTCACTTCATTTCCTCTCTAGCTGAAAAATGGCCTACAAGAGCTTTCCAGACAGACCAGCAAAACACAGTGCCAACATATTAAATAGAACAATTCAAAAGGTCTGAGCAGACTTCATATTAATTCAACAGTTTAGATATGTTCTTTATATTCTCAAGCAACATGGTAGAAAGTAGGGAAACACACTTTTGAACAATCAATCTCATTACAAGAAAACAAATTGAAGGCTAGGTCCTAAAACCCTAGTCTAACAGCATTCACATGAAGATGTACTGATCCCACAGATTCCCACTTCAAGGGACAAAGTCTGGAGAGAAACGTGGAAAATCAATGTGCCTTCACAGAATGATAGAATGGCGTGAGCTGGAAGAGACCTTCAATGAAAACTCAAGTCCAACCTTCTGCCATGGGCAGGGACAGCTTTCACTAGATCAGGTTACTCAAAGCCCTGTCCAATCTGACCTTGTACAATTTCAGTGACGGGCCAACCATAAGTTGTCTGGGCAACCTGTTCCAGCACCTCACCTCCCTCACCATAAAGACTGTCTTCCTAATGTGCAATCCAAACCTTCCCTCTTACAGTTTAAAGCCATTGCCCCTTGTCCTGTCTCTACAGACCTCAGTAAAAAGTCTCTCTCCATCTATATACTGAAAGGATGCAATAAGGTCTGCCCAGAGCCTTCTCTTCTCCAAGCTGAAGATCATCTTCATTAGGAGATAACATTCCCCAAGCCTTAAACAGAAGGCAACAGACTTGCAACTTTAATTTTCTGAATCATCTGATGTTCTGACTGGACCAGAAACAAAAAGGAGACACACCATGTCATTGCTCTTAGCACTGTTACCGAGGGGAGAACAGATTTAGGGAAGCCTCTGTTCCTATCCTCTTCCCAGGGACTCAGCTCATCTTTTGCCCTATACCATTACAATTATGTCCATGACAGCAAAGGTAAACAAATCAGTCAGCAAAACAGCATTAATGCCCATAACCCACAGACAAAAATTAAAATGCACAAGTGCTTTAAAAGCTTTCTTGAATTGATCACCTGAGTCAAAACTGAAATGCTGGAAGCTATACTGCTGATAACTAGACATGCAAAATGAACATTCATGAAAACTTGGGGGAAAATAACTCAAACACACCAAAAAACAAAGAAAAAAACAAACATCCTTTGTTTTAAAAGACAAGTTTAGCTGGCATAGGAAGACTAACAGTCTTGCCCCAGACTATATATGAAGTCTGTTACAAGGACAATTACAGAGACTGCACATGTGTTTGAAAATTCATTGTATTTTACACCACACAGCTCTGAAATTACAGTTTTCATATCAGCTTGGTTTTCAGCCTCTAATGTTTTAAATACCAACACATTTGAATAGACCTTTTGAAATCCATGTTAAATAGAACTTACTATGAAAGAAATTTGAGGGAGTTGTTTTGTTTTATAGGCAAGAGCCCTACGAGGTTATTATGGTCAGATCCCACATCTCTTAAACTGAAACCTCAAAATAACAATATGTACCACCACAAACCTTGTCTGGCTTTTTATCTTCTGATTCATTACTGGATAATCTTGTCTTAAGTTTCACTGAGCCTTCTTTAAAGATATCCCCAAACCCAACACCTCGGATTTTCTTTGGCTGTGCTGGTCCAGATGCAGGTTCACTCCCATTACCTGGAGAGGGCACAGGTGAGGTAGGACTATTGAAAACAGACTCTGGAAGCAAAATAAGAAAGGAAATGTTCATTTAAAAAGTGAAATTATTTATTTGCACTTCTGGGAAAAAATTGGAATCAACACATTTGTGAGCACTGCTCCTGCTAAACAGCTTTTCAAAGAATGCTACTGTAGCTGTAGTATCTCACATTTGTCCTATTTTTATATTTAACACAAGACCAATTGAAATGACACCAGTACTGCAATGATTCTCTGGCAACTAAGTCAATAGATCTCCAATACTTCTTGCTATTTCATTTATCACACAGTCTCCACAGCCTGTTAACATCAGTGTTTTCCATTAGTATTATGAAACATTGCTTATGCATTCTCTGAAAATTGGAGTGCAGTCCAGCATTTAAAAGCTTTTCGTTTGCACAGCTACAGCCACAGAAAGTGATAATCAATAAAGGTCCATAATGAGTCCAACCATGTTTCAACAGCCACAGGAAAAAACACTGTTTCAGTAATAGAGTGATGCCTCTCAAGGCACCAAAGTGAGATTTCCCTATTGCTCAAAATGCACTAAGCATTCAAACCAGATATAGTTGCTTAAGACTAATCACGACTAGATAGCACAACTATTTTAAGATTCTTTTAATCTTTAAGGGACAACATTTACCCACATCCTAAAACATATTTCAGAAAATAACTTAATTTTGGTGTTAGGAGCTTTAAGACTTTTTTTTTTTTTTCAATTATGAAGTTACGGTCAAATCTGTGAAAGCCTACAAACTAGTATTCATAAGCAAACCAATTTTACATGCAGAATTTCAGGAGACAGTCCTGTGAAAACTAACAGCTTCTGAACCAAATTCAAAATAGCCTCCACATCATTTAGTCTTTCAGTTATCTTCAGCCTATGTATGATTGGAAACACAAAGATTAAAGACCCTTTATCATAAATTTAAGATATTTTTATGATACCATGAAGCTTCTGACTTCAGTTTCTCACCTTCTATCTACTGACCTGCTCTTCACTTAGTTATATGTCCCTCAGATATCTGACATGCTGGCTGGACATCCCATTGATAAGAAAAGTCCAGGCTGCATGTTTAAAAGACCACAGCTGAGTGAATGGGGCAGTTGCTGTTTCCCAGGAGTGAGGAGGGAACTAACAGATACTCAAGATCCTGACTGGGAGAGTACTGAGCATTAAATATAACCCCGG